CTCTATTTTGCGCCACTTCTCGTTAATTTTTCCCTACTTCTCATTACCCTTTTCCTCACCTTTTTAACCCAAATTTTTCATATCCCTCCAACTCTTCTCTTTCCTACAAACTCTACATTTCCTTCACTCTACCTTGTTTCTATCAAATTATTTAATCTCTTGCCCAATTTCGCACCCTATTTACCCTATATCATGTTACGCTCCATATATAGTTATAAATAATAACTAATTTTTGAACTTGCTCGTCAACAAATGAGTATAGGCTTGCAATTTTATTAGCTTTAAATGGGTAACCCAATTAAACTCATTAATTAGTGACTATTACATAGATAGATTAGGACTACCTATTTAGACCTAATTAAATTAGATTTAGATTCAAATTCATTAGTAACAAATTCAATAATTATATTCTGCTTTTTGTAAAGGCATATTTAACTTTCTTTTCCCGTTCTTTAATTTTTGTTATATTTTATCCTACTTCCTCCCACTCTTATTTCAAAGTTTTAATTAACTCATTAAGTATAAATTGATTTCTTGCATTCATACCTAAATTATTTTGAGATTCTTGTAGAGTGACAAAATTAAAACTACTTATGATCACCACTATGGGTTCTTCTGTGTAATTTTGTTAGGTAAAATTTTATTTATTAATGCAATGTGTTCTTATTTTTGTTGATTGCAATGATATATTATTTTGTTGCTCAAAGAATATGGGAGAAAAAATAAATAAAATTTTGCAGTGGATTGTAAATTGGTAAGATAGCCAAAACCATGTAAAATTATATCCATTTAACCCACATAAATCATTTATTTTGATAGTTTCATCCCAACCCATAACTACAGCTTACTCGACTTTACCCTCCCCAATCATATACTCCTATCTTTATACTCCTTCTACTATTTAGGATTCATTACCTTATTTTTACCCTTTCCTGCCATATACTCCAATCTTTCTATTCGTTTTATCATTTAGGATTCATTACCTCTCTTTTTAAGATTTTTTCTTCAAATAAAGAGTTAGAGTTATAGTCATGAAGGCAAAATAATTGGGTACAACTTTGGTGAAATACTACTATTTTTTGTGACGATTACCCAAGATAATCATTTAAACAAATGTTTGTTTTGAAATTTTTGATAAACACTAAAAAAAAAAAAAAACATCTAAATGCTCATTTTATTAATTTATAATTCATATAAAAATTTTGTTTTATGTGCACCTTTTGATGTACATGTTAAATGTGAAATTATCCAGATGAAGTTTTGCGCATGTAAAAAATAATCTATGTGACATTGTATGTCAAAAATGTTTATTTCATTGGTTAGAATCATCATCTAATAGGATAAGTTTAAAGGTAAAAAAAATTAATTTAGTTGCAGAAAGTAAAATGATTAAATAATGGCTATAATTGGACAAATCCATGCATATATGTGAAAGGACAGTGCTAAAAATGTTACTATATGAATGATTAAAAAAATGGGACTAATCACATTATTCCTCAGATTTGACAAATCAATCTTATTAATCATGAAATAAAATGGGTTAAAATGATAGAGTTGTAATGAAGTAAATGATTTTAACATGAAACTAATCAAATTATCCAAAATTATTTTCTTTACTTATGAAAGAAAAAAGGGGTTAAAGTTTGAAAACAAACTATAAATGATTTATTAAGCAATCATTTTAAGTGGGAAAGAAAGTTTTAAATTTTAAATTTGAATTGTCATAACATTCATTGTAAATCACACTATTTCAAACTTTTTAATTGAATTTTATATTAAAACAAATGAAAAATCTATTAAAAAAAAAAACAAAGTATGGGAGATTTGGAAGCAATTCTCAATAGAGTGAGTGCTTTTTACTGTTTCGTGCTAAATCGGCCCATTGGCTGTAATCACCGTCCAAATACGCTCTCCTCTGCACCGCAGCACCATTTAATTAATCATCATTTTGTTTATAAATTACTTACATTCCTTCGCACCAAATTGATTTAGCGCCAAATCAAACAGCTGACCCTTTTTTTGGACATTTAGGCAAATCTTGCACTATTGGGCTACGAGACGTGCCATGGGAAAACATACTAAAGAAAAAACCAAAAATAAAAAAAAATTTAACGCAAAGGTTCCCTGTTTTCTTTTTCTTTTTCTTTCTTGCTTCGCAGTAGCCCCATATATAGTAGTAAGATTTATCAAAGCCAACATGACACATCTTCGACAAGATTTTGCAATAACAACCAAATTTCAGTCAAAAATTTATAGTACTTGCGCGCAGACTCGTCAAGACTCCAAATAAAATCAGTTTCCTGTTGCTACAACTAATAATACTAGCAGAAGGCGCTTTCATTACTTCGCCCGACAATTGCCGCCGCTGACACGGGAAAGTTCCACCTCCATTGGCAGTCGGATCAGATATACTTGCAAAGAAACCTCTTTCCATAAACAAACAAACTTACCGCACAAGATTTACACTAGCAGTTCATTTACACTAGCAGTTGACGGATGGGGTTACACTAGCAGCTCATTTTAACCGTCTCCAAGCAGCAAACACTCGTTCATTGACTGGCATACCAGTTGACGGATGGGGTTAAAAATGAGAGAATCAAATAGATGATAAAAAAAAAGTGTCTAACTGCACTGCTGCTGACATTCAATTCAAATACTCTCAAAAAGTGGGATTTAGATTAAGTGTAGTAGCATCAGAATGCCCAACTACTGCATATATTCGGGAAAAATCAATTTTCCTTAACGATAAGGGGACTACTTCGACAGACGAAAGTTTCAAGATCCTAAAATACTCCACAGCAAACAAATCATTAAACAATTAAGCCACTACAACAATCCAATCGATCTCAATACCAGCAAAAACCGTACTTCAATTCCTACAACACTAAATCGCAGAAGGCTCACGGGCTTATCCAACCAAAAAAAGAATCAAACGGCACGTTGGGGGGGGGGAGGAAACAAATAACATCACACCATCAAAAGTAGTATTAGGGAGGAAACGAAGCCATAAAAAGGAAAATCCAACGGTTTCAGAGAGTAATATATCAAACCCAATAAAGAACAAAATCTTCAAAATAAGAACATGCTGCTAATGTTCAATTAGACTAGTAACCATAAAGTTTATAAAAACAAAAAGGGGGAGAGAAGTTCCCTCAGTCACCGCCGGCCTTCTGGTAAACATAGGTGAGGCCACACTTGCCGCAATAGTGCCTGTCAAAATGATTGGCCATGAAAGTCCCAGCGCCACACTCAGCATTAGGGCACTCCTTCCTGAGCCTCTGGACCTTGCCGGAGTCGTCGACCTTGTAGAACTGAAGGACGGCTAGCTTGACCTTCTTCTTCTTGTGCTTGATCTTCTTGGGCTTGGTGTAGGTCTTCTTCTTGCGCTTCTTGGCGCCACCACGGAGGCGGAGGACGAGGTGGAGGGTGGACTCCTTCTGGATGTTGTAGTCGGCTAGGGTGCGGCCGTCCTCCAGCTGCTTGCCGGCGAAGATGAGGCGCTGCTGGTCCGGGGGTATGCCCTCCTTGTCCTGGATTTTGGCCTTGACATTGTCGATGGTGTCGGAAGACTCCACCTCAAGGGTGATGGTCTTCCCCGTCAGGGTTTTCACGAAGATCTGCATCTTTGACGACGGCGGCTGCCGCCTCCGCTGCTGCTGCTAGGGTTTCGGGAAATGAATAAAGGGGTTTGAGAATAAAGGGGATGATTAACGCTTTCGTGGGTGTGCGCCTGTATATATATATATACATATAGTTAGGGTTCGTGTCTCGGCTTCGGGTATGGATTATATGACTGTTTTACCCTCGCAAACTGGACTGCTTCAAGGCTACACGATCGAAGTAGTTTTCTAGCCCAATTGTCCGAGCCCATCATACTCTAAGACTCTGAATTCCATTTCCTACACTCACTACTGTTTCTGACCCGACCCAAAGCTTCTTTAATTTTCTTTTCAGCATTCTTCATAAAATCATTCATGGCAGAAGTATTGTATTGCTGCTCATTGCTCACCTTCCCCCACACAAACTAATATATTGTATTGCTGGATGACTCGACTCGACTCGACTCGACTCAACTCAACTCAGGTCGGGTTTGTGAACCACCACATGATGGTGACAACGATGATGATAATGATGGTAATTGTACAAGAACTATATCGAAGCTGGCCCAAGTCCATATGATTTTAGTTAGTTTTGAGTTCAAGTTCAAGTGCCATATCTTACTACTCAGAACGATACACAAGAAATCCTACTACTCAGGTTGTTGGAGATGTGTTTTACATTCAGGGAAAGCACTCAGAAACAAGTTCGGATGGAAGCGCATTTCCTTGTACAAGAATTTCTTGGTATCTCGCCATCACCGAATGCACTAACCTTTTGCACATCAACCCTTTCGAAAACACCTGCAAGGAATGCCGGCATTCAATTGAAATCATTTGAGATGTCTCAATTCTTGGTATCTCTATGCAACATTTTAGTGATGAGATTAGATACAAAATGTAGATTATTAAAATCATTTGAAATGTCTCACCTTCTCATTCATGACTAGTGCTGGAAAAATAGCAGAGTCTAGCAAGGAAGTAAAGTGAGGTGAGACAAGTCGCCATCCCTGTCCAAGAATCATAAAACCTATCTACAGCATACGTTGGAGAAGCATACGGGAAGTTGTGTAGTGTGTTGTGCAGTAAAAAGCAATGGTTAACAAAATAATCCATGGATGGCCTTAAGGTACCAAACTTGCTCGGCCCGTCTCCAAAACACGGGAAATAACATCAGAGGCCAAGGAAATGATCCTCTCTGACAGAAAGTCCAGATTCCAAAAATGGCACAGTCAAAAAATGTCAAATCCAGGAAGACAAGAAGTAGTCAACACATCCCAGAGAAAGCTGACAGACCAGTGCAGCATACAAGATTTTCCAAACCAAGAAATGCATGGTTGCCACTCTGAGTAGTCGAAATTCCATACTTTTCTATTTCAAATTTTTAACTTTACAATAGTATCAAATAAGAGCTTGGCACTCACACTACTAACAGCACCATGCTTGACTATTTTTAGGACTGAATTGATGATATCTGGAATCAGTCTGCAAGTGCAAAAGACAAATGAAGAGGCAATGTTTTCTTGTATTTATCAAAATGAACTAATTCTTGTTTCGTTACTTGTCGGAGAACTTCCGATGTCGAGTGACCAATACACAGAAGATGTTCAAACTTCTCTTCACTGTCTTTAGCCTTCAAAAGTGCCTGTCCATGCAGCTTTCTCGAACATCAAAGCTCAAACAATTGAGAATGGCAAGTAGGTCCGTACAAAGAAAAGGAAGTGCAGAAGCCAAAGCAGAAGGCAAATGCGATCTGACCTACAAGACGTTTAATGCAATAATCAGTTTGAACGACAGTGCTGATGAAAGTGAAAAAGAAAATTGCATGTATATACTGTTTAGAGCTACTCTTTTAAAAGAAAATATTGAAAAAAACAACGGAATGATTGGCTACAAACCAGGTATGCTGGACCTAGAAAGGAACAGACATGAGCAAGCAGATCATTGATGTGCTCAAATCATTATAATACAAATTAATTCACCATAAGTGTCTCCAAAATGGGGTTTGGTTTTTACAATGTTTCAAGAGTACACATAATAATTTGGATTACACAAGTTTTAACCAACCAACTCAAAAGCAACATAGAACTGTAATGCATACACCAGAAAGTGTTTCAACTAAAAATTTTGTTTTAAACTCGTAGTCACTGCAAAATAAATGGACTTATAGAACTGTAATGCATACACCAGAAAGTGTTTCAATTAGAAATTTTGTTTTAATCCCGTACTCGCTGCAAAATGAATGGACTTGGTTACAATGAGAAGAATCTTCTCGGACTTTAGATCCCATGTTGCTTGTTAAGTTAATACGTTGGTTTCCTGTAAGGTTTTCGACACCATCATCAGTAAACTTGAACAAAAATACTGCCAGAGATTCATTTAACTGTGAAAGCAGAGGAGGAACAAGAAGTAAATCCAACCTTTTCAACCAGTTGATGAAATAGAGCCAGTATAGGTACCAGAATCTCCTGAGCAATTAGTTCTAACTGCGGTGGAACTGGTTCCTTTGGAAGTTTTGGATTGAGAAAGTACTGTAAAGTTAAAATTGAAAAACAAATTTAAACAAAAAGGAGGAAAAAAGAAGTCATGAAACGTTATCAAAATAAAAGCATCCCAACATTTTGGAGTACGATATCTCAAAAACATACAATTCAAAGATCATATATTGTTTTCTCGAGTCCATGATTAAGAATGCTTGGCTAAATATATCCAAATGGTGATCACTACCCACATTTTTAGGTTTGATTATGTATAAAGACGGGCCACAACATAAGCAGCGGTTAATTTGAGAGCTTAATAGCCTCACAAACTCACAAAAGTTGCCTAATTAATAACACTGGGAGCCTTTTCAGTTATAGTTGAGAATTTGAACTGCTAGGAGGTAAAAGTGTTGGTTGTAAGATAATTGCTGAGTTGCCTCCCCATCTGTCAAAGAGAGATAGGTGAAGAGACAAAATGCAATGCAGATAGGGAAAAGTATGAAAGGTGAACTGTGCTTCCATGCAAATAGCCTGTGAATGTGCTGGAAATCAGAACTAGAACCCTCACTACCCTGGTCATAATTTGACGAGTACTGGTGAGAACTTTGATAAATAGTTTTACATCATAGTATGAAATTCAGGTAAATCGAGAAAAAAGAAATGGTGGCTATGAATTAATTGAGTACCTGGAACGGTCTAATGATTGAATGGAAAACAGTGAGCGCATGAACAGTCTTCCACTGGGAACCCGCATTTCTGGTAACCAAATCACTGTCCTGTATTACTTCTCGCAGCTCAGGGACAAGTTGAGGCCAGGAATCATTCTTGACAAACTCAACAGCAACAATGGGTCGAAACTGGGGAAGAAAAAGGATAAAAAAAAAAAGTAAAAGGGTATACGACAAAACAGCAAATTTAGAATTGGATGACCAGGGAGAAAGGCAAACACGAAAAATACTACCAGTATCACTAGCTAGGAATATCCTTGGGAACATACTGCTTGGATCAAGAGCTTGAGAACCGAGCAGAGCACGCATGAGGGCATCTTTGAATTCTTTACTAGCTGTTGAGTTTGGAGAATGATTGGTGTCGCAATTTCGTTGGACGAAGTTCTTAAGATAAGTAGCTGCAGCTAACTTTAGACCGTGGTTTTCGCCTCCTGGAAGTCACCATAAATACCTGTAACTCCTACTACAGGTATACAGTAATCACAAATAGTACTGGGCACGTAAAAGTAGCGTGGAAGAGTGCAGTGTTGAAATGCTTGAAGAAACTGCTATACCGGTGGCGGTTGTGGTGGTGGTGGTGATGGAGACTAGGCAGAAGGGGAAGTCGGGAAGAGAAGTGGAGAGGGCATCCAGAGCGTCAGTGGCAGCATGGACGGTGCTGGCGTCCTGACCGAGTGTCTGATGGAGGAGCTGAGCGGTTTGATGAGTTACCACGGCGGCGGAGCTGCGGCAGCTGAAGCCTAAGCTGGAAATGGATATTGGCAAATGGGGCTTTGGCGGAGAGGTGCTGCGCGGGAAAGCCGTTAGACTAGCAAACGTTGGATAGCTAGTTTTCTAGTGCCGGTAAACAGCAAAAAGCAAAGAAAGGTAATGGAGATGCGGGGGATCGAACCCCGTGCCTCTCGCATGCAAAGCGAGCGCTCTACCATTTGAGCTACATCCCCGCTCATTGCGTTTTTTGGTCCAACAATTAGCAAAGTGACAGATAACATGTGCCAACCAAAGTATTCTTGAGAATCACAACATTTCCCAAAAGTAAAAAAGGGTTGATTTGAGAGTAAAGCGAATGTGGATTTTGGCACTCAAAAAGGTTATTTTAAGGCAGGTTGTCATATATGTTAATCCGCCTGAGCCTGTGCCACACGGATACTAGCTAACTTCCATTTTATTTCACTTTTTTTTTTTTTTTTTTTTTTGGTGGGGGGGGGGAATTTTCCCGAATACAAACGCACATCATCATCAATTCAATTTCATCATAATGATCACAGCCAAAGGCGAGGGATGTCAGTTGCGTCACACGTGGAGGCACCAGAATCCATCCACAGGGCGCAATCTGGCATGCATGCAAGCAAGCAAAGTCACGACCGCCGCCGACGTCTCCCTCTCCGCGTCATGCAACCGACCATTTGAAATCCCCTCCTCCTCCTCCCAAGCCATTTAGTTTCCATTCCTTCGTCGATCGGTACTCGTGTTTCCATGAAGCATTCATTCTAGACCCAACTTTGTAGGCTAGATTTGCAGCTTTTATCTCTTTGGATGATACGTGCTTCGGTTCAGTGTGTCTGGAATTTAATTACTACTGCTTCAAAATGCCAGGACTCACCATTGGAGACGCCATCCCCAACCTTGAAGTTGAAACCACCCACGGAACGATCAAACTCCACGACTACGTTGATGATTCCTATGCCATTATTTTCTCTCACCCGGGTATGAACGTAATCACCACCTAATTCTTCATTAATTAGCATGCATGCATGATGGAATATACTACTATTTAATTTCTTCCACACATGCATGTAACAGTCATGCCCTAATTTTTATCAAGTTTATATAGCTAGTGTTCGCCAACAGCCTCTTAGTACCACCAAGACATTTAAGTATGTCTTGATGGGGGTGGGAGGCAAGGGCGTCTTACCACTTAATTGTGATTTTCTCTGATAGAAAAATCTCGTCGGCTTCCTGCTCTTTCCTTAAACTAAATAAATTAGAGTAGGTTATATAAATATTATCGCTGCAACAAAATATATATATATAGCTAGTTTTCATAATGCATATGCGTGTAAATGAAATGTTCTTCATGCATGCAGCTGATTTCACACCGGTGTGCACCACTGAACTTGGTATGATGGCTGTGTATGCTCACTATGCTGACAAGTTCGAGAAGATGGGATGGGAGTGAAGCTTTTGGGTGTGTCTGGCGATGATGTCCAGTCCCACCAGGAATGGGTCAAGGACATTGAAGCCTATAACGTACGTAGCAACCTATCTTGATTTTAATTCTTCTCGTTCATAATATAAATATTATAAAATCGCCCCTCCCGGCCTGCCCATTCTAGCTAGCCGTTGCGGAGTGGAGTCATTTTAGGTTTCATTTTTCAAAAAAAAAAAAAAAAAATCAGAGTCATCGATTTCTAAATCAGAATCGAAAATTTTGGAACCGTGATCATGTAATAAGGCCTTAATAAACAACGGTAGCCCACATCCTGACCTACCCTTTGTTACCATAACAGGGAAATCATACATGACTAAGGAAAAAAAAACCGAAATGTGAATGCGGGCCTTGTTTTTAAATTGCGTTTGGATTGTTTTTCAACTTGTGGACCACCCGGGAGCCTATATTTCCCCTGTATACCACCAGTCAAAAAGAAGCAGCAGCATGATGGAGAAAGTTGCGGGGTGCTGTCGATCATCACTATCCTAAAATTTACTTTTGCTTAATTAGAAACAGTCTGTAGCAGCAGTAGCAACAAAGCCATCAATTCCCCCGTCTGGGCTGTGGGGGTTGGGAGAGTGCTTTATCAGGGAGGATCAGCAATCCCCTAAAAAGCAGCTGACCTTTTGGGGCCAGGCCAGCCGAGCAAATACTGCAGTGCAGTAGAAAAAGTGTTTCGAGTGTTGACTTAGCAGCTGTTTTCCCATCCCATTATCCAACTGTCTAGCTAGTAGTAGCAGCTACCAAAAGAAAAGAAAAGAAAAGCTTGAAGAAGGAAGCTAATTAACTAACATCAACGCCACCAAACAATGCATGTTAGGAGATTATCCCACTTCCACCAGCGCCTCCACCTCCACGTACTGAATATGTTTATTCTACTAGTAGCGGCGGTGGTTGTACAGCGAGCCGCTGGTACCTGCCGTAATTACTGCAACAGCATCCCTATAAACTACCCATTCGGCATTGACGACGGATGCGGCTCCCCCGAGTTCCGTCACATGTTAAACTGCTCCTCCACGGACTTGTTCTTCGCCACCCCATCCGGGAACTACAAGGTCCAGTCCATCGACTACGACAAGAAGAACCTGGTCATCTTCGATCCGGCCATGTCCACTTGCTCCATTCTCCAACCTCACCACGACTTCGTCCTGTCGGACATTCAATCGGCCCTCATCCCCCCCTCGTCCGACACCGTCTTCGTTCTCATGAACTGCTCCATAGACTCCCCAGTCCTCAACCACTACAAGTCTCTGTGCTTCAACTTCGCCGGCCATACCTGCGACGAACTTTACGGGGCCTGTACTTCCTTCAAGCTCTTTCATCTCTTGTCCAACAGTACTCCGCCGCCGTGCTGCTTCACCGGCTACGGCACCGTCAAGTTCATGAGCATGAACATACTGGACTGCACGCATTACACCAGCGTCTATAACACGGATAACCTGAAGGGCGTTGGGCCGTTGGACTGGCTGTATGGGATCAAGTTGTCTTATGGGGTCCCGGATACCGGTTGCGAACGGTGTACCAAATCCGGCGGGACCTGCGGCTTCGATGTGGAGACTCAGGCGCTGCTCTGCATTTGCTCTGCCGCTGTCAATGCTACCAGAGAATGTGGTACTAGCACATTTTATTTTTATTTCATTTATTGGTTACATAGTACTGCTAAACTAATTAACTCTTTCTCTATTTTCGCGTTTCTGGTTAATTTCAAGGAGGGGAAAAAATTCGTATTTTGTACTTGTAGTTTGGCATATTTTAAAATCTGAGAAGGTTTTTTTTTTTTTTTTTTCCAATTAAGTGTCCCATTCCCACTCTTTACTTTAAGTGCGCTTATTTGTGTTTAAGTACTATGACTATAACTTGAAAGAATAAATAAAATATAGAACGCCAAAAGTGTTTTAAACAATAATCAGGTTTATGCTGTAATTTGCGTGTCTTGATGACTAATGATCAGTTGATACGAGTTATGCTAATTGCTCTTGTTTTCGTCTCTCCTTTTTCTTTTTTTTTTTTTAAAAAAATAATCAGGAGCTGGAAGTGTTTCATCGACTGCAGGACAAAAACCGTGGCAGAGGACATCCTCCTTCTTATTAACCTGTACAGTATACTACTCTGTCTCTGTGTTTGGTTACAGCAGGCAGTCGTTTGTAACACAATTTCAAAGAGATTAATGTTTTTGTTCTTTTTTTTTTTTTTTTGTGGCGGCTAATGAATCGGAGTTTGGTTATCTCGTGAGATGGGAAAAATCACCAAAAGGAGTATGCCCGCTCTTCTGTGCTTTGATTTTGAATTTCGTGGATTACTACCATCACTTTGTTCGTATGCGTATATTTGGTAGCACTGAAGCTTTACAAGAGATTGATTTAGCTCATCAATGCTTTGAAGTTCTAAGTGTTCATTTTATTTAGTGTGAAAACTGAGAGGCTAAGGAAACGAGAAATGCAATGGGTTTGCATTTGAATATTGGCTGTATTAGTAAATGCCTAAAAATACCCAGTTAAAATTCCTTTTCTCGGTATGATGATGATTCTAAGGCTAAGAGTTTGTTTAGATTGCTATTTTCTATAGTTTTCGTCAAAAAACATACTGTAATGATTTGATATATATGAGATAAAAAGTTGATTAAAAAATATGTTCATGAAAAATAAAGGTTAGGGGGGGTAATTTTCGTCAAGGGCAATTCTTTTGTATTCATGAAATTGTTTTTACCTGATATAACAAGTAAAAACACTTTTAGCGACCATTTAATTACCTATTGTACTGGTCATCTAAATAAAATAATACCTAAAATTTTGGTAGGTAAGTTTTACATTAAAAATAGTAAGTTAACTCAATAAATTAGTAACTTTTACGTCTCAAAAAGTAAATTTGAATAAATATGGAACTTTTATGTCTAAACTTACTTTTTTTTTTAAAGTAAATTACTACTCTATATCTTAGTTTTTGGAGAGTAAGTTTAGTTCAAGTAATAGTAAATTTTTATAGATTAATAGTAAATATTGATCGTAGAATAGTAAATTTGGTTAATCATCAAAACTTACTAGTTTGTGGCATAAATTTACTATTTTACTTAAAAAAACTTATATGAAACAAGTATTAGGAAGTTTATTTGAAATAATGCTAAGATTTTTTTATTATGAATTTTTTTTTTTTTTTTGCATATGACCTTATAAAATATGTAAGAATAATTTGTCATATTATAAAGGGTTAATCACATTTTATCCCCTTAAAAAATACCTCATTTCTCAGTTTACCCCTAACCTTTAATTTTGCTCACTTAACCCCCTTTATGACAAAATTGCCCTTGCATTCTTCTGACTTTTTATTTACCTTGTTTTCTTTTCTTTTATTTCTTTTTCTCTTTCTTCTGTATTTAATTCTTCCTCTTTCCCACAAAAATATTTACCTTAGTGATTGAAATTAAAAAAGAGAAATTGCAGAGATATATCTTCTCCTTAAATGATTAAAAAAATATTCAAATCACTTTCCTAAAATACAATTTTTTTAGCCTTTCAATTCTTTTAATTTTGGATTTTCCTCTTTCCTTTCTAGTTTCTCATTTTATTTCTCAAGAAAATATCATAAGATGAAATTATTTTTATTTCTTTTTCTCTTTCTTCTCTCTTTCATCCTTCCCAATAGAAATTTCATTTCAACGAAAATTTTTGTTTTGAATTTGTAATTACATATTTCTGGGTGAAGGTTTAAAAGTCATCAAAAACTAATTTTGATTTTTTGTATGATGTCACGTGTCACAAATTTTAATTGATGATTATTAATCAAGTCACAATTTCATCTTAAGATATTTGCTTGGGAATAAAATGAGAAACTAGAAAGAAAAGAGGAAAACCCAAAATTAAAAGAATTGAAAAACCAAAAAAATTGTATTTTAGAAAAGTTATTTGAATATTCTTTTTAATCATTTAAGGAGAAGATAGATCTCTTCAATTCCTCTTTTTTAATTTCAATCATTAAGGTGAAGATTTTTGTGGGAAAGAGAAAATGAAATAAAAGAAAAGAAAACAAGGTAAATGAAAAATCAAAATAATGCAAGGGCAATTTTGTCCTAAAGGAGGTTAAATGAGCAAAATTAAATGTTATGGGGTAAACTAAGAAATGGGGTATTTTTTAAGGAAATAAAATGTGATTAACCCTATTATAAATTTTGAATTATTTATGAATTTGTTAAAGGTTATAAAGTTTGGATAACAGTAACAACAAATCTTTCAAGTTATATATAGAATTGCCATGATCTATACATCACAATTTTCATATATTGACACCGATGAATATAATAAAATAGTACACGATTTTCATATATTAATGCCTATAAATTTAATAAAATGGTAAAATCTTAATAAATTTATTTTCTGGGTCACAAGTATAAAAATTAAAGTTGTATTGACATAGCATAATCTTTGAAAATTAAAGTAAAATTACCCATATGTTAAGTTCTGTGACTTTCAAACATACTTTGTATCATTTACATTATGGATTTGTATCCATATGTTTTCTATCAAACTCTTTTTTAATTGGCAAATGGTATATAAATTATTATAAAATGTCATTTTATAATAATCATAATTTTTTATAGATGAATTTTATATAAACTATTAAAATTATGAATTCACAAACGACTAAATCTGTCTACTTTATGACATATATTAGTCTAAATGACTAAAAAATTATTGTAATCATGTGCACGTTGATTGTTAAATTGAAATTTCCTTTATTACTAGTACAAGTTCTTCTAATCAAAACAAAATAAAATCAAATATCTTTTCCTTTTGTATGCAGTAGTTATGCTAAATAGAAAATTATTAAACCATTTTTACAATACATAATTTCTCCTAAAATTAGTAATATTTTCCATGACTTCTAACCGTGTCAATAATACTAACCACCGACATCTAGATAATCTTAAAAGCAAAAGCCATCAACATGACAACTTGTCCTCTTAAATTATGCATAAAATCAACCTTTTGTATGTCTAATGAAAACATTGCATAGTTCGAAGTTAAAATGCTTGTTGCATTTGACAAATAAATTACTCTGTTTGGGTCGGTGGATTTGAATTCAATAAATCATTCAATTGAATGGATTTGGAATTATGATCAATTGAAATACATAGTTTGGCTGGTTTTTCAAACCATGGAAATTCCAAAGTTCCCAAATATAGTTCATGCTCTAGTTTATTGTATACTAATTTATGCTCACACATATACCAGATATTAAATTGATCAAAGGCAAAGCTTAATTGATAAAGCCTTCATCCTGTACAACGTTGCTTTTTTATGTACAGAATGGATTCTTACAAACGCATTACAGCACAACCATTCAAGCAATAAAAATATGTAAGACATGTGATTTAACTACAAGAACATAACTTTAAAAAACCATTCCATTTTGGAACAGGTACAGGCAGAGAAAAGATTGAAACCACTTCAAATCATAGAAACTGCAGTTTTAAGAAGAGCAAATAACATTTCCAACTGGTAAATAAGCTTCCTAAGTAATCACCACGTAAAGAGAACTCCATAACATTTGATTATTTGGGTTTATTTTTTCTGATCTAAATCATGCAAGCACAAAGTTGCAGAGCACACGACTGGAACTGAGTTATTAAAAAATAAAAAAATAAAAGAATAAAAAGAAGGAGCGGTTAATACTTTTGGGGTTTAAATACATTTACCTCCTTTATAGTTTAACCAAACTTATTGTAAAATTAAAGTATCAATTCTTACCAATAAATGATGAAGTGCATTTGACATTTTTGTTTCCTAGTACAAGTTGGCTGGCGTAACTAAAATTTGTCAACTATGGTTTTAATCAAGTTGTTCGGTACTTTCTAATCCCGTACAGGCATCGATCATATCATACAAATTTCTTTTGGACATTTCACCAAACACCTTATATGCATTCTCAAATTAACCACTTTTCACATAAACGACGACATGCTATTACCATCATTTTGTTTGCAACTATACCTTGCTGGAAGGGCCTTTAAACGGCATCCAGTGGGAGTCATTACCAGAAGATGTATAAACCTTAAATAAGAATGAATAGAAGATGCACAAAATACAAAGGGTACAATTTTCAATTCACTAGCAAAAGCCTCTCCTTCATCGTCATCTAAAACTACGATAAAATCAAAACAAAAACAAAATGAAATAATGAATATGCAGAAGAATATTCAATTTTCAGTGGAATAACAAAAACACAAATCATTTTGTTTGCAACTATACTTTGCTGGAAGGGTCTTTAAACGACATCCAGTGGGATTCAGAATCTTCATCCTCGAATCTGTTCGGTGATTCTCGATCAGAACTGTCAAAACCGTTTTCAGAAACAAGTGATTTTTTTACTTAAATATGTAAATTTTTTACTTTTAGTATTAGTAAGTTTAATTTAAAAAAAAGTAAATGTTGTCAAATACTCCCTCCGTCCCACTTTGATAGTCCTGTTTCTTTTTTCACACAGTTTAAGAAAAAGTAGTTAACTTTGTTGGAAAAGTAAATTTAGATTGCTATTTTTCTAAAATACCCTCATATTAAATATGGTACAACTTTATGGGAACTTGAATTGATGGTAAAAAAAGAATCAACTCTCATTAAATGAGGTAGGTTTATAGTAACAACTACTTACATTGAATAAGGGTATCTTAGAAAAATTAAAATACAACTACATTTTTCAATTGGAAAGTGGATAACAAATTATGACAGATGAAAAAGGAATACAGGACTATCAAAATGGGATGGAAGGAGTAAAAATTTATTTCCTTCAAGTTAGTAAGTGGTATGTAATTCATTTCGGACACTTGTAGGCTCTAGAGAATGAAAGTATGGTCACAAAAAACCCTTAGGAAAAGAGGGGAAAAAAAAAGAGAGAATAAAAGCCTCACCATTAAGAAAGTAAAATATTATACTCCCTCCGTCCCGTTTTGTTAGTCTTGATTTTTTTTTCACACAGATTAAGAAAGTGTAATTAATTTGGTTGGAAACATAAATTTAGATTAATAATTTCCTAAAATACCCTTATGCTAATCAATGTAGTCAATGTATTCAATGTAGTGGGTGAATATTTAATAACAATGTATTAATAACAAGATATTTAATAAAGGTATTTTAGACAATTTGAAAGATTACTACATTTTTTAATGGGAAAGTGGACTACAATTTGGGACGGACGAAAAAGGAAAACAAGACTAACAAAGTGGGACGGAGGGAGTAATAAATAAATTAAATTATTCAAAGTGTAAATTTCTATTTTTGACTAAAACTTATCTTTCAGGTATATAGTTACTAGTTTTAATTAAAAACTTACTAAAGTTAATATTAATTATTTTAATATAATATTTAAAAAAATCGCTAA